ATTTAAAGTATTTAAGTGACAAGTTTAACAATTTTTAAGAAAACAAAGTCACAAAAACAATATCTAAAGAGGTAAAGTAGACACTTACAAAAAAAAAACGTTCAAGTATAACTGTGATCTCCAAGGCGAAATTTGATTGCGAAACGGATCCTCGTCACTACACTGATTCGCGCGTGCATTGAACTTTAACCTTGACTGATTGCATGCTCAAAATAAACAACACGTGACGAGTTTTTTCGGCAACTACTGTATTATGGTGTGGTCCACCACATGTGGTCATCGACGATATCTAAAATCGAAGTAAAAAAAGAAGAAAAAAAATACTAAAAATCAAAAATAAACTATTGAAAGGACACTCACCAAGAAAAAACATCCCCCCCCCCCGCGGGACAGAGCTCGTCGGGCAGTCAGACTATAAAACATATAAAAATAGGCCCCCACCAAGCAACACATGTCTGTCACAGTCTGAGAGTGCCATTTTCGGCCATCTATAGGTTGATATTCTTTAAAAAAAATCTCATTTGGGAGGGGGAACCCCCTCTCAACTCCTTCTCCCAGCTCGAGCCTGTCGGACAACTTAGCCCCCCCAGAAAATATACCCTAGAACCGCCACACTGCCTAGACGAACTAGCCTATTTTGCTGGATGATACTAATAGGTACGTGATGCGAATCCAGAATTGTTGTATTAGTATTATTTGTGTATTTTCTACTTTTTAGGTGTAAACACATATTTGGTTGAAAAAAAAGTTTTCCTACCGACCTACCCATTTTTTGAATTTTCCCAAAACGTGGCCAACACAAACAAAATTCTTGGCCTAGTATTCTACTGCAACTTACTTTGAAGCATTACTGTGCAGGCGTGGTTTGAAGTCCACTTTTATGTATGAACCTATCATTTTACGCACATGCGCATGTTGTCCTCATGAAAAGATGGCGGTGTCAGGCGGAGACGCTGCTGATTCAAACTATAAAATAGGCACAATTCTTACTTGTGAAACCTGTTTTGGGGACCATTTTGATGGAGAAGTGATGGCATATGATTCTCAAAGTCGTCTGATTGTTCTGAGTATCCTTTTATATGGTTTTTGATATTTAAACTTTATTGAAATGTGTAGGCTTAGGCTAGGTCCTACAGTTTTTAGCCGGGCCGGCCGCTGTTTCAGTCATTCCGCTGCGACTATGCCAACACTGTGTACGTCCCTCATCGAGTCTTAGCCAGCCGCAACAAAAACATACTGTTACTGTGGCATACCACATGGCTAGCTAGGGTGTGTCAGCCAGACTATGACATGAACGTATATGACTAAGAACACTTAACTTATATTGAAATATGATGAAATGTACAGTACAGTACAAAACTATATTATTATAAATTGCTTAATTCAATTGTAAGTACTCATTCCCACGTTCGTTTATATTGTTTACAGGCTACAGTATATGAACAAAAGCATAACATAACAACTATACAGAAAATCAAAAACAAGACTAACTGAGCTGATTGGCATCAACACTAAAGTGAACTTAATCACTAAAACAAAATGTCTGTGTCCCTCATCAAGCCCAGTTTTACATAAACCTATATAATATATACAAATAAAATGGTTAATTAGAATAGAAATAACTTAAATACAGTATACTGTAAATAGAGGAAAAAAAATTGAAAATAAAAATAAAAAATAATAACATAAAAATGAAATTCATTAAAATAAATGCACACACACACACACACCCACCCATACAATTTTAATGAAGTTTCTAGATCATGAAAAAAGAATGCTACAGATTAAGTGTGTTAGCCACATGATGTCAGTATAGATAGGTGTATCCTAGCATATTCCACTACAAAAATTGTGCTCCTTATTTTAATTTTAGTTTATTAATTTATCTTATTAGACTTAGCATTTTGTTGATTATTAGATTGTTTCTTCTTCAAACATAAAAAATTAATTTAAATGGTAAAATTAAAAAGTAAATGAAATACATAATACTGCATAATAGTTGCCAGATTGATAATGGTTCAGCAAAAAAAGGATATCAATTGATGGGGGGGAGGCGCTAGTGGAGTGAATCGAGTCTCACTTGGTTGGGGGCCAGGGGCTCGCCTAGGGCCCCCGGTGGGGGTCCAGGGGAAGCCACGGAAGCCCTGGAAGCCACGGATATTTGATGAATTATGGCGAATTTTTATTACTTATTTGATAGGCATCGAGTTACTATAATATGACTTAATGTAGGCTATGCTTTCTAATGTTGACATCAGCTTCCAAAACCAAAACATTTTGAATAAAGCAAGA